TCAGTGTGAAGATGGGACTTCATCTCCACAAGGTCTGTGTGGTGGCCTCTCTTACCGATACTGTCATGGACAGATGCATGTGCAGCCAGCAGTTTGGTAAGGATGAGGTCAAGGTTTGAATGGTGAAGAATTTGTCAAATGTGTTCAAGGAAATTTTCTTTATCAATATGTGGATGCTCCTACTGGAGAAGGAGCGAAACTAGACCTTCTTTTGCGCAATAAGGCAGGGCAGGTGACTGAAGTAAAAGTGGGGGAACACTTTGGGTCTAGCAATCATATTTCTATTAGTTTCAAAATGGTTATGGAAAAGAGTAAGCCTTCTATAAAAGTTAAAGTTTTTAATTGGCATAAGGCAAATTTTAATGTTTTAAAAGTTGATTGGAGTAGACTGTTTGCAGGTAAAAGAATATCTAACAAGTGGGAGGCTTTCAAGAGTGTGATGACACGAGTTCAGAGACATGATGTTCCTGTTGGAGTGAAGGATAAGGCTGGTAAGATTAAGGAACAATGAATGAATATTGAGGTTCTAGTCAAGAATAAAAGAGAATTTTATTTTAGTTATAGACAACTTGGTTCAATTGAATCGCATAAGAATGCCCTTACATTCTTTATATTGATTAAGAGAGAAATCAGGAAAGCAAAGAGGGGATATGAGATGGCATTGACAGATAAGATAAAGGATAATCCAAAGAGATTCTACAAATACATGAAGAGCAAGAGGGTAACTAGAGAGATGGTAGGGCCTCTTAGAGATCAAGGAGGTCGTCTTTGTCTTGAACCCCAGGAGATGAGAGAAATACTAAATGAATATTTTGCGTCACCTTTTACTGTGGAGAAAGAAATGCAGTCTAGAGAATGCAGAGAAATAAACTTTGATGTTTTAAAAACAGTTCATATTACAGAAGATGAAGTTTGGGAGTCGTACAGAATATAAAAGTGGATAAATCTGTGGTACCCGATCTAATGCATCCCAGAAAATTGTGCGAAATAAAGGAGGAAATTATAAGACTCCTTGGAGAAGTATTTGCAACATCTATTAGTACAGGTGAGGTCTCTTATGACTGGAGGGTGGCTAAAGTTGTACCTTTGTTTAAGAAAGGTTGTAAGTAGAAACCGGGGAACTATAGACCTGTTGAGTTTTACTTTGGTTGTGGGTAAGTTGTTGGATTTGATTATAAAAGATAGGATTTATGGACATTTAGAGAGGCAAAAATTGATTAGGGATAGTTAGCATGGTTTTGTGTGAGGAATTGAATTGATTGAGTTTTTTTGACAAAGTTGTCAAAAAGTTAGATGATGGCAGAGCAGTAGATGTTATTTATTTGGATTTTAGTAAAGCATTTGACAAGGTTTTGCATGGTATGCTAATTAGTAAAGTTAGGTCACGTGGGATTCAGGGTGAGCTTGCCAATTGCATACATAGTTGGCTTAATAGTAGGAGACAGAGAGTAATGGTGGAGGGTTGCTTTTCGGACTGGAGATCTGTGACCAGTGGTGTTTCACAGGGATTTGTTCTGTGTCCTGTTTTGCTTGTCATTTATATAAATGAATGGGATGAGAATATAGAAGGCATGGTTAGTAAGTTTGTGGATGACATCAAAATTGGCAGCTTAGTAAATAGTGAAGAAGGTTTTCTATGATTAAAAAGGGATCTTGATCAAATGGGTCAATGGGCTGAAAAATGACAGATGGAGTTCAATCTGAATAAATGTGAGGTATTGCATTTTGGTACAACAACAAGGGTAGAGTTTATACAATTAGTGGTAGGGCCTTGGGCAGAATTGTAGAACAGAGGGACCCAGGGGTGCACATACATAATTCTTTGAAGTTGCGTCACATATAGATGGGGTGATTAAAAGGCTTTTGGCACGCTTGCCTTCATTGCTTAGTCCTTTGAGTGTAGGAGTTGGGAAGTCATGTTGAAGTTGTACAGGACATTGATGAGGCTTCTTCTGGAATACTGTGTCCAGTTCTGGTTGCCCAGTTATGGGAAGGATATTATCAAGCATAAGAGGGTTCAGAAGAGATTTACCTGGATGTTGCCAGGTATGGAAGGTTTGAGTTATAAAGAAAGGCTGGATAGGCTGGGACTTTTTTTAACTGGAGCATAGTAGGTTGAGAGGCGACCTGACAGAAGTTTATAAAATAATGAGAGGTATAGATAGAGTTAATGGTAGTGTCTTTTCCCTAGGATGGGGAATTTCAAGACTAAGGGGCACATTTTTAAGGTGAGAGGAGAGAGATTTAAAAAAAGACACAAGAGGCAATTTTTTTACACAGAGGGTGGTTTGCACGTGGAATGAACTTCCTGAGGAAGTGGTGGATGTGGGTACAATTACAATGTTTAAAAGACATTTGGATAGATACATGAATAGGAAAGGTTTGGAAGGATATGGGCCAGGAGCAGGCAGGTCGGACTAGTTTAGTTCACATGGACTGGTTGGACCGAAGATTCTGTTTCCATGCTGTATGACTCTAATGACTCTAAGTGATCATAACTCTATTAGTTTTAAAATAGTTATAGAAAAGGATAAATCTGATTGAAAACTTAATGCTCTAAATTGGAGTAAGTCCAATTTTGATGGTCTTAGACAGGAACTTTCAAAAGTTGATTGGGGGAAGCTTACTGGCAGGTTGGGCAGTTGGAGGCCTTTAAAAACTAGAGTTCAGACATAGTATGTTCCTGGTAGGTGTCGGAAATGCTGGGTGACTAGAGAAATTCAGGCTGTGATCAAGAAAAAGGAGGAGTCATATGTCGGGTATTGACAACTGGGATCAAGCGAATCTCTAGAGGAGTAGAAGGGCAGTAGGAGTGGGCTCGAAGGAAATCAGGAGGGCGGAAAGGGGACATGCGATAGCTTTGGCAATAGAATTAAGGAGAACGCAAAGAGATTAAGGGCAAAAGAGTAACTAGGGAGAGAATACGGCTCCTTAAAGATCAGAGGAGCAGGAAAACTGATGTTTCGGGTCTGGACCCTTCTTGAGAGGGGTCCAGACCCGAAATGTCAGCTTTCCTGCTCCCCTGATGCTGCTTGGCCTGCCATGTTCATCCAGCTCTACACCTTGTTATCTCAGATTCTCCAGCATCGGCAGTTCCTACTATGTCTGAATCAGCTGCTATGTTTACATGTGTAACAACAGCCCCAGCACTTCTTTGTATGTCACCCAGTCTCAAGCATTTTATAGCGATGTGTTATGATTCTGTAATCAATACCAAGCCTTTTTTTGAATGGTTGAAGGAGAGTGAGGAAATCTAAACAGTATTTCAAATTTCACAATGCTATATTTATACTTTTATTTTCAAATTGTTTGTGTCAGAGGCTTTGTATTGTCATGCAGGTGAGAAAAATGTATAACTTTCATAAGTTGTGCCTTCAGTATACAATTAATTTAGTACAGTGTGTATTATTAGATCCATTCATGAGATTTAGGAGTTGTTGACCAGGCCAAAATTCAGCTTTGTGAAGTTGTTGCTGAGAATCCTTGATGGTTCAATGGCTTAGGCTGTTACCAAGAACAATTAAGCAATATCTGGGTCTGGAGGCAGGTATAGGCCAGACAAAGTGAAGCTGTTGAATTTCCTTTCATATAAGAACATGAATCAATAAATAAGTTTTTGGTGCCAATCTGGTAGACACATGATGAAACTACTAATATTGGATTTTCATTTTAGTTCTTATTTTTTTGATGTCAAAACAAATTGCAGCTGTATAAAATCTGTATGTGACATTAAAATGCAAGAATGAGGAAAAATGAGGATACAATTAAGAGTTTGGAAAAACATTATTTATGCAGTTGGTAAAACAAATGTCACTGCACACTGAGGTTGTATGCTTGAAATCAAGTCCTATTATTCGCAGAGTTGTCATAAATGTGTAGGATTTAGTCAAACTATCCAAAGTCCCCAATTAACTTGACTAATAAGCTCAGGTTAAAAAAAAACTCACCAGGTTTTTGTCCTGAAGAAAATAATTGTTAATTATGGATTGTCTTTAATCAATGGCAGTTAGGAAATATGAATTATTATATCTCCTTAACTTAAACATGGTGCTTTCTTAAATTTCCCCCTTCACAAACAGGTATACAAAGACAGACATGACATGTATATAAAGGGTGGGAAAAAGAAACACAATTTTATAGCACCAGCTTGGACCATGGAATTCAATGAGTTAGTTTATTTCCTTTTCCTTCAGTTCTTTTTTGTTCTTGCTGGAGACACAAGGTTATTTGCACATTGATGCTGTTCTTTGTTCATTGGCTAAGAATTTGTCCTTTCATTGTCTTTGAAGGTATTTTATTCTTTCCTTAACAGGCAATTTGCAGAGAAAGCTCAGTGGAAGACAGCTACCTGTCTGTTACTGGAAACTTTTATACCTCTACACAATACAGAAAGACAGGCACACATTTTTTTTACACTTTTCTTTGCAGGCTGGGCAGTTCTCTGCTGTACTTCTCCAGACTGTGCTCACCTGGTCAAGAGTAAATCATAGTGTGCAGTCAAGCAGCTTCATGATGTATGCTTTTGCTCTCACTGTTCCAGGGAAAATACAAAATTATATATAACTCAGGATGTTGTTGAATAATCATGATTTTTAAAACTACAACCATCTCAGCAAATTCTCCTGGGTTTAAAGCAATGTCTTCCTTTTTAGGTCTATTTTGCTTTTTTTTTCCACTCAAGAAACTTTGTAATTTGATTCTGGTGAGCTGCATTTTTATTGCTACTAGGTACAGCTGCATGTTCAAAAGAATTTTTAAAAATTTGCTGTGGCTATTGAGGGGATTAAAAAGAAGGCAGCTGATTCTCTCCTCCTTACCTGTTCATAGCATGTCATTCTGTCTTAATCTCTACTGGACAATTTTCATTTCATCTAACTACTCATTTCAGTCCCTCTGTTATAATTCCCACCCAATTACTGAATACACTTCTCGTATATTACTTTCCAATGTAAATTCTGGATTATCAACATAACTAATTATAGCACTTTGTCTTTTTTCAGCTCCAGAAGTTCTCAGTGCCCATCAGTATACCCAACAGTGTGACACGTGGAGCATTGGTGTCATTATGTATACATTGTAAGCAACATTTTGAAGGGAAATAAATGTAAATGCATTCATAGTGTGATTAGATATGCATTTTTATATTTCCTGAGTTGAAAAGGCTCATCAGTAATTCATCGGCTAACTGAGAGACATTTCAGAAAAAACCCTAAATCATTTCAAAATATATTAGATGTATTTGAAACCTTTGAGAAAATTGCTGACATGCCCGAAAACATCACAATTGGTAATAATATAGGTTGAAGATATCAAGAAGTTTATTTCAGAACTGTTGCGATTTAGAGAGATGTAAATGGTTAGGAGATAGATTAATATTTCTTGTATTTCTATTTTACCTTTTGTAGCCAAATTCTACTTTTCTTTTCTGCTCTTCCCCCACTTCCATTTATTTTACTATGCCCAGTTTTGTCATTTTTGTCTAGCCTGAGTCTGCTACATTTTTATAACAAGCATGGTTCTGAGGCCTTTTATTGTTTTAATAGCCCAGTTCTATTGTCTTATTTTCTTGCAGATTGATTTTCCTATTCCTTTCTTTTCTTTGAATTACTATTTAATTGTCCGGTTGCCAGTGCATCTTGTTTTAAAATGATTATTTTTGATTATCACTTGATTTTTAAGCCACATTGTCCAATATGAATTTCTACTGCACAACATATTTACAGAATTTCTCTTCTGTGCATTTTTCCCTTTTTCTGAACTCTCTTTCCCTGCTGTATTGTTCAATTTCCAAACCTTGTCCTTTTTAACCTTCACTCGTCACACCAAAAGCATTCTGATTTCTTTACTGCTCCAGTCCACTCTTGTTTCAACCTCCGGAATACTTGGAACTCCCATTACCTTCGGCATCCCCATCTCATTTAGTGCTCTTCCCTTTACCCTTCAATATTTTGCCCATTGCCCAGTAGGATCCCTCAGAGGGGCAACATGATTGTGACCGCTCTATGGTTGTGGACTGGTCCCAACATTTGGAAGGATTGAATTAGAATTTTCAGAGCGATCTCTGCCAATGTTGAATACTTTTTATTGTGATTACTTCCAGAATATGTGTGTAGGTTTTGCCAGTCTCGTTTATCTTGACACACTTTGGTATTTAAGAAAAATGAATAGTTTTTATTTGGAAGTTTAATTGAAACCTACTGAAATTATAGTTGTATTTTTTTTTCAAAACCGTAACTAAAATTACGATGGGTTGATTTCAATTGAAAAAAATCTTTTATAGTTCTAACATAAAAGCTGCAGGTGTATAATTAACACAACCTGTCATTTCTAGAGGTTTCTTTTCCTCTTCAAATCCTTTCGAAGCACAATCAAGCATTTGTGATCCCTAAATGCTACTTACGCATATGATCAGAATATAGGATCTTTCAGCTATGAGCAAAAGAAAATAATATTCAAGCTCAGGCTTTTGGCAAAGATTTCAAACAAATCACTTCATTGGAGGTATTCAAAGTGACATATTCAGCTCCATTGCCCTTTTTTTTGATCGAACACACTATTTCAAACATCAGATTTTTTGATTACAGAGGGGGAAAGTGACAAAATTGTCTGAAAGAAAAATGTTTTGTCTGAATCGATAAGTTTGCTTGTTTTCTTGACAAATTGGTACGTTCTCGTTATTCAGGCTTAGTTATTTTCATAATTTCTTTTTGCTTCTCAATGACATTTCCTTGCTGTTTTCTTCACATCAGTTTCCATACTCACTACCTCTTCAATCCTAACATGTACCTATTTCATTTTTAGCCAATCACTTACATACAACACCAGGAGTGTATTGGCTAAGGTCTAGCTATCATAGAAAGTTATGTCAAGAATTGAATGAACAAATAATTGAAATTGTTAATGAAATTATAGCAAAAGTTGATGAAGAGAATGTGTTGGGTGTTGTCCATGTAAATTTTAAGAAAGTATTTGAGAATCTACCATGTAAACGATCAGGCAACAAATTTGGGAGTCATGAATGAACGGATCAACATTATGTTGGATTTAAAAAAATGACTGAAGAATAAAAGGATCAAATTGATAAATGGCTGGAGATGGTAGACCAGATTATTCACCCAACAGTTAGTTGTAGGATCACTTTTTAAAAATATATGAGTAACTTGGATATTGGAATACAAAATGAAATTTCTAAATTTGCCAGTTATATCAAACTGAATGCCAAACAGTGATGATGAGACCAATCAACAATCACAGATCACAGGCTGGTAGTATAGGTAAATAAATGATGAATGTGATGTAATGTAGGCACCTGTGTGATGGTACATAGAAGATCCCTTCGGCTCATTGAATCTGTACCACCAAAATGACGTTGAATCTATGCAAGTCCCAGCCACTTTCTAGCATTTGGCCCATAGCTGAATGTTCCTTTTGTTGGCAAGTTTAGAACTCTTCTCTCTTCATTACAATTTCCCATCTCTTGCTTCCCATTGCAGCTGGCCTCGCCCTCCCACCTTTGCAGAATGTCTGTCTCCCATCCATCCTCTTGTAGCTCAGCCCATCCCTCTTGCAGGCTCCTATCCCCATCATTTACACCCTCCCTCTCTCTTATCTCCCTTTGAATTCTTCTTCCCTCCTTTCCCCATTTTTGCATCTTCTCCATCTCTTCCCTCCCCCTTTACCTCCTCCCTCTCATTTCTTCCCCCTTCTTTGAATCCTCCCTGTCTCTTCCCACTTTTTCTGCTTGGAGCCTCCTTCTTTCTCCATTTCTCTTAGTCTGCCACTCACCCCTCAAACCTCGCAGTATCCCTGCCTTTCCTCCCCTACTCTCTTGCAGTCAGTACCAGCAGCCCCTTTGCAACCTCCCCAATCCCTCTTGCAACTTCAGAAACCCCAGTACCTTCTGTATTTCTCCTCATTGTAACACTAAGGTTTAGCAAAAGCAACCACCACCCCCACACCCCCACCCTCGACCCGCCCCTCCAGCACGGGAGAGACACGGGCTGCAATTGGAGGAGCAGCTTCTCTCACATTGTACTTATAGAGGTAACTTTTCTCCTTGGCATCCCAGACTTAAAGTTTCCTGTGCCTTGGTTTGGGGCCTTTGTAGGTATTCTTGAACATTGGTAACTCCTGTTCTTTAATGGACCCAGTGGAGTCTGCATGGGAGGAAACATGACCAAGGGCAGATTACAGCACCCAGAATGCAGCCTGGCTGTATATACCAGTGGCCACAGAAACTCGGACTGTCATTCCAGAATAATTGGATCGCAAGCGTGGGAATTTTGTGCCATCCACTGTGTGCTTGTTTGTGAGCATATTAAGGCCATTGAGAGAAGGGTGGTGCTACCCATACCCTGATGACATGGGCCTGATGATTATTGCCATATGCACACCTTTCTCCTTGGCACTAGCGCTTAGAGACAGTTTAGGAAACTGGGGTGAGCACAACAATTTTATCAAATTCACTTCATGTTGGACGTTCACTGGCATACTTCTAATATGAATTATCACATAACAATCAGGAGAAAAAACATTGACTGTCTTTTCTCATACTCAACACAATGGTACTGAAGCCTAGTTGCTGCAGTTGTAAGAAGTCATCTGATCAGAAAATACTTGGAATAGACCTTAAGCATTTATTCCGTCCAACTTATTGCTAGCCCAGTCAGTACTATTACATTTTATTTGTTAGCTTTATGGTTGGCTAGTAGTAGAAATTAACATTTTTGACAGGAGAAATGGATATTGTATTTCTTGGTAATTCCACATGTAATACAATTATTCTATTTGAGCTGAGAGAGAGGATTAAACTGTTTGTACGACAACGGTTCCATTTCATCTATAAAAATGTTAGATGATGAAGTGAGGACAGAGGAATTGAAAAGATTGTGAAATTTCATATAAAGAACCTTCATTTGTAATCCGTTGCAATCAGCAGCTATTGTTGCCCATGATTAAGTGCAACTGTTAGGCACAGAGCTACTTTTACATGCTTTAAATCTGAAAGGCAGACTATTGAGGGTTTTAAATAAAGTATCACCCAATTCTTTCCATGTAGGCTTTCGGGAGATCCACCATTTGTGGCCAACTCGGAAGAAAAACTTGCTGAGTTGGTAAACAAAGGAGAACTGCACTTTGATGATTCAATCTTGCAGGAAATTAGTGATGGTGGTAAGTGGAAGATTATAATTTTTGATCATCCTAATTTAGATTTTGATTAAAGTTTGCCGTAAAGTATAAATATGCTGCTGCAGGGAAGGTGATGGCCTCGTGTTATTAGACTATTAATCCAGAGACTGAGGTTGAGTTCTGGTGACCTGGGTTCAAATCCCACCATGGCAGATGCTGGAATTTGAAATCAATTTTAAAAATCTAGAATTAAGAGTCTGTTGATGACTGCGAAACCATTCCTGATTGTTGGAAAGGCCCATATGGTTTCACTAATGTCCTTTAGGGAAAGGAAACACCGCCCTTACCTGTTCTGGGCTACATGTGAATCCAGACCTGCAACAATGTGGTTGACCCTTAACTATCCTCTGGACAGTTAGGGATGGAAAATACATGCTGGCCTGACCAGAGATGCCCATATCCTGTGAATGAATTAGAAAGGAATATGGAGACTGGATATTATTATTTGTGAAGAAAAAGTGCAGGGGTGAAATTTTCAGTTTGCCGCCACTTAACCAAATCGTGGAAATGTGCAGTAGATTTTGAAATTTATTCGCATTGTACTTTTTTAAGGTTTTGTTTTGACTTTTAGAAACAGTTCAATTGTTCTGAGTTCACCAATGTTTTATTGTGCATGATTGGTTTCATAAACTTATTAAGAATTCGTTTCTACTCATCTCCCTCAAAAAGCAAAGGTGGTTGTGTCTATGACTGAACCAGACACACAATTTGTTCAGAATTATGTGTTTATGACTCCCTTGAAAGCAAGTTACTATGGTGACATTACGAATTTGTAGCAGTGGTAGCAATAAAGATCAAAGCTGTAAAAGTGTTACTTTTTAAAGAGAATTATCCAGATTTTTAAAAAAAAGTCCAATTTGAAAACCAACGGTTTTGTCAGGTTAGCAAAAATGTGACATGTCATCCTGTGCATATGCAACTATTCTTAGGGCATTCCCCTCCCTACAATCTGCTTTTGTATATTTTTAAAAATAGCACTGCTATGCTCCAGAGTGAGTAAAAGCAGGATTTATTGACCTTTTCTTCTCTCTGCTCTTCACAGCCAAAGATGTGTTGTCTCGTCTTTTAAAAGTGGATCCTGCCCATAGAATCACAGCCAATGAGCTTCTTGACAACCCATGGGTCACGGTAAATCTGTAACTAATTTAGTTTGAGAAACTGTACATAATTAAATATGGACAGCAGACAAAAGGGCTGCTCCTTCTAACTCTGAAATGTTTTTTTCACGAGGGTATTCAAGTACTTGTGTATTTCACATAGTTAATTTTGCCACATGAAACCAGATCACAGCTGTTTTGCAGCAGGATGAACCCATTCTCTGCTGCATTTTTTACTCCCAGATAAAGAATAGATCAGCTTCAGAATGCAAAAAAAGCTGGGATCATCTTACCAACAATGATGATCCAGTGGTTACTAATAGCTGGTAGTAATATTCCAAAGACCTGTTTGTGAATACTCAATTCAGTTTTAATCTTCCTACTTAAGAATGTAAATGCGTCTGAGGAGGTTCAAGGAAGGTTTACTGGATTGATACCTGGAATAAGTTGGTTGCCTTATAAAGATAGGTTGGATAGACTGGGCTTGATTCCACTGCTATGTAAAAGAGTGAGGGATGACTTCATTGAAGTGTGTAAGATCCTAATGCTCATGATAAGGTGGATGTGAAAATTATATTTCCTCTTATGGATAAGTCCAGAACTAGGACTAGTTTTAAAATTACGGGTAACTCTTCTAGGGCATAGATGTAGAAAAACATTTTCTGTCAGATGGCTAAGTAACTTTAGAACTTTCTGCCTCAAAGTCATGGAATTGGGGTCATTGAATATTTTCAATGCAGGGGAATTGAGGATATTTGGATAGATGGGTTTATGGAATTTCAAACACAAACAGATCAGCCAAGATTGTATCGAGTGGCAGAGCTGGCTCAAGAGGCCAAATGGTTTACACCTGCTCATATTTCATATGTTTGTATGACAGTGAAGTTAACTGATGGAAGTAGACTATGGAAAATAGTTTAGGTGCTCACATATTGCTGCTAAGGTAAACATAGTCCTTTGTGAAGACTACTTACATGGTGGAAAAACTCATCTGATTAACAGCAAATTATAGTCCAAGTATTTATTGAAGTATATCTATCTAAAATGTAGATAATAGCAGTTGTAAGTAACAACTTTACAATGCATTCACTCATTCTAATACATGCAATGGGTTTGCGTGATGTGCTTGATTTTATTCTTTTAAGCTAAACATACATAAAAAAATTCCTAATTAGGAGCACGAGAACATGAATAAATCAGTTGGTTATTCATATCTATATCACTTAATTTTTTAACACTAGGAACTCTCCATTCCAATTTCTTGCCCTTTCTCCATATCCCAAAACACACTTACATCCTAAATAAGTACTTAGCTTGTTTTTGAACCTCTTGGTTGATTCCACACATATGGCATTCTTAAAGCGGTCTTTTTAAACTTTTTTTTCCAATTTCGGTATTTTAAAAGCAGAAGTGTCCTTTTAGTATGTTTTTCTTAAAAACATACAATATCAGACATTGCATTCCTAAGACTTCCATGAAACTGAACCTGTGACCATTCTGGCATATACTTAAATTGTACACTTCTGTGTTCTTCTGGTTTCTCACTATTCACGGTAACTGCTATAGCTCACCGGAATTGGGAACTCTTCTTTTGCTCCTTGTTGGGTGCTTCCAACTATTGTATATGACATTGGCTTTTTGGGCCCAATGAATATTGTTTAACAGCCTTACAATATGAAAGTAACAGACTTTTTAATTACACAGTGAGAAGATAGTTAACATCAGTTGAAGAAAGACAGTTTTACAGCTCTTTGAATGGTACTAAGCTTTAAACATTTGAAGAAATATTAGGGTCATAAGATAGCTTAATGGTTACAGTACTGGACTAGCAGTGTAGCAGCTGAGAGTTCCAAATTCAAATTGGCAAATTATAAAATTCAATCTGACAATTCATGGGCTAACTAAAATATGCCCTCAAACATAGCAGTTGAATTAACCCTAATGGCAACTGTGAATGGCAATAAATCCTGCCTTCTTGAAGGCTGGCCTCACCAGAAAAAAGTGGACTTATAAAATAATCAAGGTGCCAAACACCTATTTTAAATGACACCCCATGCACTTGGAAAACAGTTAGTGCACATCTAGGGCATATTGACTGCACAAAGTCAGGTGATGTATCGCTGTCCCCAAGTTTAATTTATTTTTAAAATAAAGTGAATACTTTTCCCTGTCATTCCATGTATTTATTTCAAATTATCACAATTCAATTTTGTAAATAACAGTTAAGCCTTTCCTAATTGGAGATAGCTAAGTTCTATCTCTGTCAAATTTTTGTTTAGATACCAATGCATGTACTTTTTTGAAAATGACACTAAAAATATTGCATATCCAGAGCACAAGTATGTATCTGTAATAAAGGCTAGTACTTATGATCTAATATGCAATGAGGATGTGGCCTTTTCATAAATGAGAGAGCTATTAATGTGTTCCAAAATAGTTTTGTTATTCAATCTCAAAATGAAAAGAAAATGACAACTAGTCCGCTATGTTTGCAGGCAGTAAAAAGTTAAGGAATTTTTTTTGTGCTACATTTTACAGGTTTGCAATATTATGTATAGATCTCAAAACTTATCTAAGAGTGCTTAATTCATAAATCTACAAAGCATATTCACACAGTTCTTCAGCTATAAAATGTGTGTTTTAGTTTGCCATGTTGCTCAAATCTCTGAATATAGTTATACAGTCATTCTTGAACTTTAGGGTGATACTACAGCCATACAAAGACCACCAAATGTGCTTGAAATGATGAAACAGTGGAGAGATGACCTGGATGGAGATGAAGAAGAATCAAGTAAAAGTTCTGTATCAAGTGGTATTTTTCACAACTTGGAAACTAGCCAGGATGGTGAGGAGAGTTCTCCCAGCAGCAATGGCACATCAAATAGTTCCAGAGAAATTGACGTTGGTAGTAACCATCCTCGCTCTCCATCTAAACAGGTAAAATGTCATTAAAAATCAAGTCAAAAGTGAAATTCCGAGAGAAATGAAGTCATATATCCTCTTCCATGCCCTAGATAATTCTGAATAACTACGTAACTAGAGTGAAATTGAGCTGTATAATTTTGAGCAGGATTTTTAAGTCCTGATGCGGGCAGGAATAGAGAAGCTGGCAGGTGCTGAAAATAGCAGTCAGCTATTTGCATTGCCATTCCCAACACTCGCAATTTTCCTCAGGATAAGGGAAGGAGTGCTATAGACACCTTTTGGGAATAAGCCAATTAATGTTAATGATTGCATTGCTAGCTGCAAGGAGGTGACAACAAAGTGGATAACTAGGCATGTCCACACTATGTTATTAGATGGCCCCATAAAATAAAAACACAGCTGAGATGGGACACAAACATTGACATATTTCTATGGGATGTGTAAAGATTACAAGAGGGATGCTTTGTTAGTGCTCAGGCAGTAGAGGGGGTTGTTGTCCAACTTGCATTGCAATGATTTAGGTAAAAGTCAGGGTTCCAGAGGTTAAGCTGAGTTTAAGTAAGGCAGTACATGTTAATGTGAGCATGATTTTCGGATATTGGGTTCACTGGTAATAAGGAGTAATTTCATCAACACTGGAAACCATGTCCTGAGCATGAGAATGACAGAGGAGAGGGGCGAGGGGCAAGAAAGCAAAGAAGGCCATTTTCTTTGCAAGGGTTAAACAGAATGACATAACTGCAAGGGTTGCTAATGGAGTCACTGATGCCTTCTTTGCCTGAGTGGACAGTACATACAAATTCAAATAGATAAGCCCTCTCGGACGCAAAAGACAGTGAAGTTCACCTGCGTTGCTGGATTCTTCTCAATACAAGGTATCTTTGATCACCCCTGTGTTGCTAGCGAAGGACCAATTGACTGGCCAGTGTGATTCACCAATAGAAGGGCTTCCATCTCTTGAATATACAGCTGACCTGCAACTGCAGAAAAACTTCATGTACTCTGCTTTCTTGGATTCTAGGGGTGCTTCCTCTTTAAGTAACTCTGAGATGGAACTATCACACTGCTACAACTGAAGCTTCAGCTCTCAAAGACTACCATTGATCAGGATATTGATTTTTTTTTTGAAGATGCAATTCTAGTGCCATGTCTGATCAGGTGACACCCAACATACACTCCTTCAAAGGTTTCTGTTATTGGGTGGTCTGCCGTGCCCTCCATAGCAAAGCACATTTCGAGAGGTGTAGTTCTTAGAGGGTGAGAACCTGAAATAACCAGATCACCAGAGGGAGAAGAGGAAGGAGGTAGTCCAGAGTAGAGAGATGTCCTGAGTACCCTGCCTGCCCAGCGAGGGAGCTGAACCTAGCACAGGACTCTGCGATCTTGGCAGGATCCTATCAAGTTCACATAACCTGATCCAGGAACTTTTCAAGTTAGCTTTCCCATCCAAGGAGGATGAAATGATCTGGAACTCACTTTGATCTGCCTGTGAAAACCCATTCATTAAAGACAAAACCCCCTTTACTACCAGTGCATGATGCAAATCTGACTACAGGTTACACTATCCCCCTTCAATGACTTTTGATTCCCTTCAGCTTCCCTTCCTTTCTTCTCAGCCTTACCTTAAAACAAAAAAAGTGCAATTTCACAAGCCTAACATTATGGCCTGATTTTTTGTTGAGTCAGACCATGTCTAAAGGTATTTAATAATGCCTGGCAGGACACAATTCCAAGATTCTCACTCTCAATCCTGTTACCAGCAGTTATATGCTAAAGTCTGGGCAGCAAGCCAACATGCATCACTGGCATATTTACTGGCTCCATTGCGCAAGTGGACTGTTCAAATTGCCCCAAAAGTGTGATGTGGCCAAGCCATTTTGTCAGTAAAAGTAGTTCATGTCACTTCAGAAAAGTTGTGAACCAATAGGGTGGATCCTTAAACTTGAGTCGTGGACAAGAAAAATGGAAATTCAAAATTCTCATTATAAAACATTGACAGCTTAATAATAATTTAAGAAGAACAATAAATCAGAGCTATTCATATTACCAAGCTTTGTGTCAATTAACACAAAAGCAGTGAAAGAAAATCTTTGAAGAAACAGCAGGTTATTACAAGTAAAGCTTACCCGCTCTGCTGCTATATAAACATTTTTTGCCGAGGTCTAGGCTATTTATGGAGTGCAGACATGCATTTTCAGCCTATTTGTTGATGCAGTTGTGGTTTTGTGAGGGTTTGAGGCCCCAAATTATGAATAAAACTTGGCTGTTGTTCCAGTATGCTCGCTGGCCTTTCCATCTACCTGCCTCTGATTCTCCCTGTGATGAGCTTGGCCTGACTCCATTCAGCTTTGCCTCCCCAGAATGAAAATTTGGCAGACACAGACCTGCTTAACAATGTCAGAAGGATTCCTTCACAACAATCTAGTCCAATGTGTCAGTATTTATAATTTCTCCCAAAAGTTACAGAACATTGTATGCGCTCAGTGCATATCAGTGCAATGCTTCTGCATTCAGTCTGAATGCTGCTGTGTATGCATTTCTATGAGACTGCCCATCTTCTATACAGAAGAGCTAAAAATTATGAGCCTTTTGGAGAACTCCATTATTCTCAGCTAAGACCCTGCATTGCCTCGATGAAGTCTGATATTTCGGTACACGTCTATTGCTGGTCAAATAAAGCCTTTACCTTGCAATTTCTGAGGCTATGCATCTGCACATAGCTGAGAATGATTGTGTCAGTCCCTTTCCTCAGATGATTGCTCACAGATTCTCTACCATTTTGAACTAAACCGATACCTCATTCAGCACACCCTGACTTCATTCAGCACAATTAATGTTTGCATGAAGGCCTCCTCACTAATGCACTATTAAAGAGTATGCTTGCAGGCTAATTGCCAGTTTAGTATTTCCATCTGCTTGTTGAAATATAGCAATTTTTGCTGTGTTTTATCACCCGTGAGATTTCACTTTGTACTGAGAGATTTTGTATTTTCTAGACTGTTTCTCTTTTTTCACAAGTAGACTGGCTTTAATTATAGATGATTTAGTGAGGCAGCTATGTTACTATTGCAGCAACAAATAGAACATCAAACCAGTACTGTACTGTTTTCTGGCTCCAGCCAGTGATATTAACAACATCTCACATTGCACAGCACACAGATTTATTATGGCCGTCTGCTACACATCCTACAAGGGAAGGTTGGCAACTCAGCTCTGTTGAATCAAGACAAAATTCAGGAATCCTAGATTTTGCATTTATGATGTAAAGCTCCAATGACTGAGCACATGTCACTTTGAGACTCCCTACCACCAGCCTGGAACCTTTATCAGTCAAAAAAGATTGTGCTGTCTCTTACAACTGGTTCAGAGCCATAGATGGTACATCATGGAGGTCTTTAACCTCTCTCCTAGTGGCAGTTATTCTAAGAAAATTCGGCGCTAAACTTAATCCAGCCAGGCTGCCAAGTTACAGTCTAGCTATTATCTTATGATGCCAGTAATTAACCCGTGCACAGCCTCAAAACACAGTTATAACAAGATCAGTGCTGCTCTGAGGACCATCACTGAGAAAGAAATCAGAGCACTCACAAAATGCATGAATTGTTCTAGAGGAGCTTTGCAGTACACTCCTCTGTGCTTATTCCTATTTATGGTTATATGCTGCATGATTCTTAGCCATCATGTTGACCAGCTCTTAACACCACCTGTGAAGCAACAAGAAAAAGAGAAGGAGCATGGGAGAGGCCTGCCTTCATCTATCTGAGCTGCATTGAAGCATTGAAGAGTGCTTCAGCTCTTATATTTCCTCATAGTTATGTGAATTTACATAGGATTTGTTCATGATATTGAAGTGGGTGTATAATGGTATCCAAATGTGTGCCTGTGTATCTTTGGTAGCATGGGACATCAAAATCTTTATCTGAATCTTTTGCAGTGTCAATGCTCTTACAGTCTTGCTCTTTGGCACACTGTAACCTGTGCTATCTATTGCTGTGCCCAATTCTTCCTCTAACCTGACTGTAATTTAACCTTGATCCTGTTAACTGAGTTGATGTTTTTCATTATCTGATCAAGTGATAGTGTATCTTCAAAAACACTGTACTACGTAGCCCTGGATATTTTCTAATCTACTTGTTCAGACATGCAATTACACACCTCTGGGATAGGACTTGAACCTGGGTCTCCAGGGTCAGAGGTAGGGACACTACCAGTGCACGACAGAGCCACTTGTTACCACTGTGGTGTGAGTTAACATTGAAAACATCCACAGCTTGTCAAGCAAAGGCAAAGAGGCTTTGGTACAAAGAACGATTGTGTGCCTTCCCCTCCAATTTTGCCACTGGTCATGATATTCACTGTACTCTCTCCCTTGAAAACCAGAATATCTGTTGAAAGGTGGAGTGGGGACAGGGTGTACAAGCTCGCTTTTTCCTTACTTGTAGCCTCATGTTGTGTTATACCTTCTGCACAAAAGACTGGAATGTTGTGGAATGTTTGATAAATGAAGCTGTAATTGGTGCTGCTATAAGTAGAAAGCATTTTAGTTCTCTTACTGTCACTACACTGATAAGATAATTTATTTTACTTTCTGGCACGTAGCTGTGTTCTTGTGGTACTGGTTTAAGATATAACAAATATGTCAGTATTCACTGAGGAGAGGGACATGACGGATGTTGAGGTTAGGGATAGATGTTTGATTACTCTAGGTCAAGTCAGCATAAGGAGGGGGAAGTGTTGGGTATTCTAAAAGGCATTAGGGTGGACAAGTCCCCAGGTCCGGATGGGATCTATCCCAGGTTACTGAGGGAAGCGAGAGAGGAAATAGCTGGGGCCTTAACAGATATCTTTGCAGCATCCTTGAGCACGGGTGACGTCCCGGAGGACTGGAGAATTGCTAATGTTGTCCCCTTGTTTAAGAAGGGTAGCAAGGCTAATCCAGGAAATTATAGACCGATGAGCCTGACGTCAGTGGTGGGGAAGCTGCTGGAGAAGATACTGAGGGATAGGATCTATTTACATTTGGAAGAAAATGGGCTTATTAGTGATAGGCAGCATGGTTTTGTGCAGGGAAGGTCATGTCTTACCAACTTGATAGAATTCTTTGAGGAAGTGACGAAGTTGACAGATGAGGGAAGGGCTGTAGATGTCATATACATGGACTTCAGTAAGGCATTTGATAAGGTTCCCCATGGTAGGCTGATGGAAAAAGTGAAGTCGCATGGGATCCAGGGTGTACTCGCTAGATGGATAGAGAACTGGCTGGGCAACAGGAGACAGAGAGTTGTAGTGGAAGGGATTTTCTCAAAATGGAGAACTATGACCAGTGGTGTTCCACAGGGATCCGTGTTGGGACCACTGTTGGTTGTGATATACATAAATGATCTGGAGGAAGGTATAGATGGTCTGATTAGCCAGTTTGCAGATGACACTAAGATTGGCGGACTAGCAGATAGTGAAGGGGACTGTCGGAGAATGCAGCAGAATATAGATAGATTGGAGAGTTGGGTGAAGAAATGGCAGATGGAGTTCAATCCAGGCAAATGCGAGGTGATGCATTTTGGAAGATCCAATTCAAGAGCGAACTATACGGAAAAGCCCTGGGGAAAATTGATGCCCAGAGAGATCTGGGTGTTCAGGTCCATTGTACCCTGAAGGTGGCAACGCAGGTCGATAGAGTGGTCAAGAAAGCATACGGCATGCTTTCATTCATCGGACGGGGTATTGAGTACAAGAGTTGGCAGGTCATGTTACAGTTGTATAGGACTTTGGTTCGACCACATTTGGAATACTGCGTACAGTTCTGGTTGCCACATTACCCAAAGGATGTGGATGCTTTGGAGAGGGTGCAGAGGAGGTTCACCAGGATGTTGCCTGGTGTGGAGGGCACTAGCTACGAAGAGAGGTTGAGTAGATTAGGATTATTTACGTTAGAAAGACAGAAGTTGAGGGGGGACCTGATTGAGGCCTACAAAATCATGAGAGGTATAGACAGGGTGGATAGCAAGAAGCTTTTTCCCAGCGTGGGGGACTCAATTACTAGGGGTCATGATTTCAAGGTGAGAGGGGAAAAGTTTAAGGGAGATATGTGTGGAAAGTTCTTTACGCAGAGGGTGGTGGGTGCCTGGAACGCGTTGCCAGCAGAGGTGGTAGAGGCTGGCACGATAGCATCATTTAAGATGTATCTAGACAGATATATGAATGGGCAGGAAGCAGAGGGATACAGATCCTTGGAAAATAGGCGACAGGTTTAGATAGAGGATCTGGATCGGCGCAGGCTTGGAGGGCCGAAGGGCCTGTTCCTGTGCTGTAATTTTCTTTGTTCTTTGTTCTTTATGACTAGGAGTAGTCCGTTTGGCACCTTGAGCCTGCTCCGCCAATCAGTAGGATCATGGCTGATCGACTACATGTTGTCCTCTCCCTGCATCCTCATCAGATGCTTGGTAGCTCCCTGACCCTTGGGAAAAACAGGGTTCTCTAACCACTGCCATTGACGATCAGTGCAGCATCAGAGAGCTTTTGTGCTTACTGTCTTGCTCCTTCAGCTCCTTGCTCCAGAAGTTGCAGTGCAGGTTTTGCAATCAGAATGAACCTCCTCTTGAAGAGGTGCTGATTGCCATTAAATGACATCCTGGCCTCCTGATACCAGATGCTTCTCTGAAAAGTGCACAGCCAACAACACACAGATCACTAGATAAATAACAGTAGGAAGACAGATTCTGGCAAAGAACCATTTTTGCTTACATTCAACTTCTAGGTAGCAAGATAATAATTACGTGTCAGGAACAAAAACAAAGTTGCTGGAACAGCTCAGCAGGTCTGGCAGCATCTGTGAAGGAGAAAACAGAGTTAACGTTTCGGGTCCGGTGACCCTTCCTCAGAGCGTGTACTGTGTATTTCAACATTTCTGAGAGATGTGGTGAGATGCAATACAAGACCAGAATTTTCTCTCATTTTAGCCATTTGGCTATTTAACTGTTTTGGAAGGAGTTACATGATTTTTTTCTTCATTTTGCCATTTTGCTGTTGAACATCACCTTAGTGGAGGTCAGAGAAGAAAATGTGATGAGAAGCATAACCTGTCCGTGGCCGAGCCTACTTGAATTTCCTGTAGTTAAAGTTATCGGAAGTAAATATAGGAGATTCTTTAAGGAGCCATTTTCCTTCTTGTGCTGTACGCAAGTGATTTTTTTTTTGTCTGGGTGGTGCTGCTTGAGAATCAATGCACAACAACTTTGAGTCCAACAATCCTTATTATAATCTATCCCATAATAAAATTGGTTGAGCAGACAAGTGATCTCAATAGCTTTTCTCTATGTGTGAGGGCGGGATAGAATGCAATAAAATTAATCAAATGAGACTGATAAATGCAAGTTCTCTTATATGAATGAATTACAAGGAATTCCACGTAAGTACTGTGCAACTTATAACAGGTTCTAATCAAATATGCTATTTGTTCAGCTTATCTGTTTTTCATATTTATATGTATTTATTTAGGATTTGTTTGTGATACTGAAGCAGGAGTGTATTGTTACAATTGAAAAGTGTTTACAGGATTGGGGAGATTTGTTTTGTTCTAGTGGAAAACATTTACAAATAGGTATGTGCAATTTTATCTTTTTGGAGATGGTTAACCTGTTCTAATTGTTAGCCTTGGCAATATTTTAGCCATTGAATCTTCTTTCATATTTCCTTTTAGATCAGTTTGTTGTAATTCTGGCACTCGGTTGGGAAGCAAATCTTATTTCAATGACTTATCTGAACCCTATTCTGGAGCAAAAAACATTGGTATATGAATAATTCAAATTGCTAATGAGTTCTTTATTAAATATGTAATTTTCAGAGCACGACGAAGAATACCATTGCAAGTTTTTCTGTTGATGGATCATTTCCTGTGAAGAAAACCAACAAATTCAGCAGCAATGTGAGTGCCAACAGATAATAAAAAAAATCAGATTTGTAATGAAAGAATTAATTCAAGATAAATTGGTAAATGATCAGAATCAAACTATTTAGTCCAATGAAACTAACATTTAATCACAGCAAATTTTTATTTACAATCTCGGTTTGTGTATATAATAATGAAAACAGTGGGTCTTCTGTTACAAATTGATAATATCAGTAACTTTAAGAACTTTAGACATAAACAAAATTACTACATTAAGTGCAGTTGGATTTGTAGAATATGGATTAGCAAAAGGTAATATTGATCTGGTTAATTTGTTCAAAGAATAATCAAGATTAAGAGTGATGCTAAGGTACCTTAAACTTCATATTTATAAATTAGTGTTATATTTTATCAGTAGTGATTGCTAACCATTAACGTAATGCAACTAAATTCGTTTCTACTGTGCCAGCCATGTTATGTTATTCTGGCATAATGAATATTTTGGCTGTTTCCCAGATTCAGAACGTCATCCTTGACAATGGCATTTTAATAATGTGCATTGTGTTGTAGTAAGTTTCAAAAGAAGGTAAAAGAACCAGTAAAACTTGGGTGGTACGTGTTATATTTAATTACTGGAAAACATCAGTTGACCTAGTAAAACAGACTTGCACCAAACAGATAAGTTCAATACCAATAATGCAAATCAACAGGATCTAGTTTGAAAAGGGTTTACAAATATCAGCCTTGGCTCACTTTCATTATTGAATCAGAAGATTGTGGTTTCAAAGATAATTCCGTAGTTTTGACCACGTGATCTAGACTAATACTTCAGTGTAATGCTAAGAGTGCTGTTAGAATTGCACTTAAACATTAAACTAAATGCTCGTTTTCCCCCTCTAGCGATTTAACAAATTCATGGTATAATTCTGCAAAGAGCTTTGAAATTCTTATTCTGCTTCAAAATCACTTAATTGGGTACAAAGGTGTTTGGAACATTCCTGGGTTGTAAAATATGCCATGTGAATGCAAGTTATTCATGTTGTGGATGAAGTCCTTAAATAAGTAAGGGCATCCTTTTGATTACTATCAGATACTAATTTTGAAACTGGGATTTAGAATGTGTTCTCAATGAACTAGAATTGTTCTCCAGAAACCTCCTAGTCTCTATTCAGTGTTTTCACATGATGTCATAAGTATATAAAAAATAGGAGTAGGAGTAAGCCATTTGGCCCTTTAAGTCTGTCTTCCCATTCAATTAGATCATGGCTGATTTGCCTCAGGCCTCAACTCCTTTTCGTGTCAGTTCAGCATAGCTATCAACTGCCAAAGACTATCTATCTCTCTTTAAATATTTTCAGTGATCTAGCCTCCACAACTCTCTGGAGTATATAATTCCAGACATTCACCACGTTCTGGGGGACGTCCCTTAAAAAAATTCAGTTTTAAATGGGTGTCCTCTTATTTTGTAACTACACCCCTTAGTTCAAGATTCCCTCACTAGTGGAAACATCATCTCAACCTCTTTCCTGTCAAGCCCTCTCAGAATCTTGTACATTTCAATAAGATCACTCCTAATTTTTCTTAATTCTAATGGATAAAGACATGATCTGTTTAGTCACTCTTGATAAGTCAACTCCTTCATCCCAGTAATCAGCCTAGTGAATGTCTTTTGAACAATTTCCAATGCCAAGGTATCCTTTTTTAAACATAGGGACCAAAACTATGCATAGTTTTAAACTCCAACTGCAGCCTTACCAGCACCCCGTGCAGTTATAACAAGCGTTCCCCCTACCACCTCCACCACGCCCCACTCCCCAGCAATAACGCCAAAATTGCTGCATGTAGATGGTATCTTTCTGTGAATAAGAACACTCATATCCCTATGCGCTGCACTTTTTGATGTCTTTTCCATTTAAATAATAGTCTCCCTCTTGATTGTTTCTACGAAATTGCATGACATCACACTTTCCAATATTAAACTCCATCTGCCAAGTTTTTGCCCAATCATTCAACCTATCTATATCCCCTGGCATATTTCTTATGTCCTTTTCACAACATGACATCCACTTTATTTTTGTTTTTGTTTTGAATACAATGCAATCTGCCCCTCCTCCAAGCTATTAATATAGATAGTAAATAATTGAAGCCCTAGGACTGATCCTTGTGACACTGCTAATTACATCTTTCCAACCTGAAAAAGACACATTAATTCTGAAGCTCTGTCTTCTGTGTGTTAACACAGAACTCACCTGACTCCCCAAAACCTGTCCACAATGCACAAGTTAGGAGTGTGATGGAATACTCCCCATGTGCCTGAATGAGTGCAGCCCCAACAACACTCAAGAAGCTTGACACGCCTCAAGACAAAACAGCCACTTGCTTGGCACCAAAATCACAGGCATCCACTGCCTCCACCAACGACGCTCAGTAGCAGCAGTGTGTACTATCTGCAAGATGCACTGCAGAAATTCACCATCCTTAGACAGCACCTTCCAAACCCATGACCATGACCCATAACCTAGCAGGATAAGAACAGCAGATACATGGGAACACCTCTACCTACAAGTTTCCCTTGAAGTCACTCACCTTCCTGAGTTGGAAATATATTGCCTCTCTTTTACTGGTGCTGGGTGAAAATCCTGGAATTCCCTCCTAACGGCTTGTGGGTCAACCTAGAGCACAGGGACAGCAGTGGTTCAAAGAAGGCAGCTCACCACTACTCTCTAAGGGCAACTGGGGACAAACAATAGGTGCTTGCCAGCCAGCCACACTTATGTCCTATGAGCAAGTGAATAGATTTAAATATCTTCAATCCATACTAATATCAATACCTCCAATACCATGAGCTTCTCACTTGTGCAATAACATTTTATGTCTTGCTTTATTGAATGTCTTTAGGAAAATCAGATACACTACATCAACCAGTTCCCCTTGATCAACTCTGCTTCTTATATCCTAGAGAACTCTAGCAAATTTGTCAAACATGGTCTCCTTTTCACCAAAATATGTTAACTCTGTTAGATTGTGTTAAGGTTTCCTAACTGCCTTGTTATTTCTTCCTTATCATTTTCCCACTGACAGATGTTAGGTTGTCTAGCCTATAGATTCCTGCTTTCTATCTCCCTCTTTTCTTGAACAATGGTGTCACATTAGTGGTTTTCCAATCCATTGTAATCCTGCTTGGATTCTGAGAATATTTCAAGCGATGACTTCACCGATACTTGCTTCAATTTCATTTTTGGTGCACTTCCAATACCGAAAATCAATGTTGACACGCTGATCAGGACGAACAGAACCTCAGAGCAGCCGTGCAGCTGAGAGGGTACACTGGCATCCATTATCTCTAGGCACCTCCTTTAAAATCCTTGGATGAATCCTTGTTGACTGTGGCCCCGTTAATTTCTCAAATACCTTGTCCATCATGGTGGAGACTGTCACAGGACCTTGCCTTCTATTAGCACCTTGCTTATCTGTTACCTTTCGGTTGTTTATGGTGTCTGCCACTGTAAAGACTGATGCAAAATATTGGTTTAAACTGTGTGTCATTTCCCTGTTCCCCATTGTCAGTTCCCAGTTGAATCCTCCATGGACCCACACTTAGTTTAACTATTTTCTTTCTTTTACTATACTCATGACTATCAAGAGTATATGAAGACTATAATTGCAAATGAAGAATGTTGAAAATGCTGAATACAAATGTGCACCTTACCCATATGTTGCATAAGCACTGTGGTATTCACTTTTATTTGAAAATGCCAGGTAAAAAAATTAACTTCAATTGAAAATATTCCATGCTGCATTCTGCTGCCATAAATGCAAAATGTAGCCTAATAATGAGCATGTTTATGTAAAATATGAATAAAAACAAGCTAATAAGGAATGAGTATATAGAATAGACTTAAAACAAATTAAGATGGTATTGACAAAATGTGCAATTGGTGTTTCTAGAATAGACAGTGATCAATAAAATAATAGGAAATGGAAACCAAACAATTTCAAATAAAGAAAAGGATTTCTGATTTTGAAAGTTTGAAGAAGTAAGTGAAAAATCAGTAGAAAGGAAAAGCCAAGTCCTAAAAAAGTAGTGATCAGCCATAGCTGTAAAGAAAAGCCTTGATATCTGAGTCATCTAGGAATGGGATTAAAGGATATAAGTAATATTCACTATCTGCAGATAAAAGCATGATCTTACTCCCATGAAAGAAAACACTTACTTGTATGATTTCCTGCTGCTGTGTGAAAGTAATTTGTATAAATGTTCCAAAAATAGTCTGGAATGACCCAAAATTATGAAGTTAAAAGATGGTTGTGACTTTAGCATCCACTTGCAGTAGTTTTGAGTGAAGTTAGGCTGCTTGTAGCATTTGGCATTATCATGTGACAGTGTCTTTCAGTAGTAATCACATGCAGGCTCCCATTCTTCGTTAACTGCAGGTAAGAGGACCTCTGGGGTTGCTGGATTCTGATGTTATGTACTATTGTGCAGCTGCTGTAGTAAATCTTCATCTTGCTCCGTTGCTCTTTTTTTAAGAAGCTCATTCTCAGACTTTCTGAAGTCTTCTCTTATCATCCTCATTGGTAGCTAAATTTCCAAGCTGTTTGTCATCTGCAGATTTGAAATGATGTCCCTAATGCATGTGCAGGTCATTAAAGGACATTAAAAAGAGTGTTGTGGTCATGTAATACCAGCCGTAGGAAACATCATTGTGGACTTGTTACCCGTTTGATAAATAACTGTTTGCCTATGTTCTCTACTTTCTATCACTTAGTCAGTTCTACATCCATGCTGCCACTGCCCTTTTGATTTCCGTGGATTTTACACGTGAAAGGTGGCTGAGTCAGAAATTCTCAAAACAATTGAGCAGTATTTAATATTCAATTGCATTGCGATAGCCTCCACAGCTTTGGGCCAAGAGCTGGAAGTACGATTGGAATCACCAGATTTTGTTGACCGGCATGTACAAATTGGGCCAAATTGTAGTTCTCCTGTACTGTAAACATCTGTGACTTCCCAATGCCTTAGAATAGGAAATGAT